TCTACAATTTTAAATTGGGTATAATTTTATATTATTATAGTGGGTTTTAGGACAGGACAAATAATTTAATTAGTTTTGAATATTTTTAAATATTATGGTATTGCTGTTTTATTAATGTGCCTGTTCACCGCCCTGAGTCCCGCAAGGGAGAAGGGCGGTATATAAATCAAATAAATTTGAATTTGAATTTGAATTTAATCCAATTCTGCTACTCCTTCTTTTGGGGATGATTCCGTGCAATAGCTCACCTCCTCCTTTTCTGCTTTTGCTTTGTGCTTCCAAACCCCTAAGTTGCATCAAGAACACGTAAAGTATTAGTACTGATTTATACTGCACTGGTAAGACCACACTTGCAATACTGTGTCCAGTTCTGGTCACCATGATAAAAAAGAAGAAGATGTTGTGTCTCTAGAAAGAGTGCAGAGAAGAGCAACAAAGATGAGTAAGGGATTGGAAGCTAAAGCATACACTGAACAGTTGCAGGAAGTAACAATGTCTAATCTAATGAAGAGGAAAGGGGTTATACAGTATGATAGCAGTCTTCCAATATTTGATGGGCTGTCACAGAGAAAAGTAGACATTCATGTAGATATTTCATTACCAAACTAGGGAATATCATCAGGGCTGAAGATATTACCCTAGTTGCATAATGAAACTTCCTTCCTTCCTTCCTTCCTTCCTTCCTTCCCTCCTCCCTCCCTTTATAGAAAACCAGTAATATTAGGGCTGTAAGAGGATGTAAAGGATTGAGAAGCTCATTTTGTAAGCTGTCCAGAGTTTTTGAAATAGTGAGAGGGCATATAAATTTACTAAATAAACAAAAAATATTATAGTCCTTCTGTGGACAAGGCATCTCCCGGCCATTCATTAAAACTGCCACATCTTAATTCAGCCCTTTTCAGGAGCCCGCACAAAGACGCAGCTGCTTTCATGAACAAACCATGAAGGTAGCACAGTGTTGGCTTTTTTGGCAGCTGCACCACGCTGCTGGCTCATATTTAAATGATTGTCCACTAGGATGCCGAGATCCCTCTCACAGTTACTACTATTGAGCAAGGTACCCCCTATACTACCCCCTATACAAAATTAATCAAGGAGAGAAGCAACCTAGAACTAAGGAGAAACTTCCTGACAGTTAGAACAATTAACCAGGGGAACAACCTGCCTCCAGAAGTTGTGAATGCTCCAACACTGGAAGTCTTTAAGAAGAGACTGGACAGCCATTTGTCCGAAATGGTATAGGGCAGCGGTTCTCAACCTATGGGTCGCGACCCCATTTGGGGTCGATCGACCATTTCACGGGGGTCGCCAAGCAAGGCTGTCTGCCATTTTTTCCCCCTTTTCTGGCAGGGGGTGGAACCACGCATGCGCGGTGCTCCTGGGCAGGGAACGTCCTCGACTTACGACCGGTTGGGTAGTCCTCGACTTACGACCGGTGTAGTCCTCGACTTACGATCGGTTTAGTCCTCGACGTACGACTGGTTTAGTCCTCGACTTACGACCGGTTGGGGGTCGCAGCATTAAAAAGGTTGAGAACCACTGTTATAGGGTTTCCTGCCTGAGCAGGGGGTTGGATTAGATGACCTGCAAAGTCCCTTCCAACTTTATTATTATTATTATTATTATTATTATTATTATTATTATTATTATTATTATTATTATTATTATTATTATTATTATTATTATTATTATTATTATTATTATTATAAGCCTACTGTGCAAAGTTGTATTATACTATACCTGTACATTTGGTTTTTCTTGCCTAAATGTAGAACCTTACTTTTTTCACCATTGAATTTCATTTTGTTAGATAGCGCTCAGTGTTCAATGTTCAAGACAAAGTGTCGTTCTTCTCGCTAACCTTTTGCTGACGCTCCTTCTTGTCCTTATAGAAATGGTCGGCGTGGGCTGTCTTCTCAATGGAATCAGGTACAACAACGGGGAGAGCTTCCAGCCCAGTTGCAAATATAACTGCACCTGTATCAACGGGGCCGTGGGTTGTATCCCCCTGTGTACTGACTCCAAGCCGCCCCTCGTTTGGTGCCCAAACCCGAAGCAGATTAAGGTCAAGGGTGAATGCTGTGAAGAGTGGGCCTGTGATTATTCAAAGAAAATCAGGAAGGCATCTCCACGGCATCTCTCTTCAGCAGGTAAGATGGGGGTAAGGGAAGCCCAGCAACGAGGACAGGAAACTGGCTTGAAAGTTTGGATTAAACTCCATGAAACAGTGTTTCTCAACCATGGCAAACGTGAAGACGTGTGGACTTCAACTCCCAGAATTCCCCAGCCAGCATTGCTGGCTGGGGAATTCTGGGAGTTGAAATCCACACGTCTTCACGTTGTCATGGTTGAGAAACACTGTCAGAAAGTATGGGGTTTTAGGGTGCATAAAAAGTGGGAATGGATGGGTTGTAATTCATCAAGTTGTGAGAACTCAGCCATGATTGTAGCAACTTTGATGAACCAGATGATCACATTAAGCCTTTGTAAGATTTCTTTTGTTTGGGCAAAGCCCAGCACATGAATTTAACAAATGTATTCTGTTAATCAGGGTGGGATCATGCCTGTTTTAAGCAAGAAACTGGATGGATGACCTTGGGCTAGCCCAGGGGTAGGAAACCTTGGCTCTTTTACGACTCGTGGACTTCAACTCCCAGAATTCCTGAGCCAGCATGGCTCAGCTTGGAAACCTCTCCCTTTCCCCTCAGCATGGCTGGCTCAGGAATTCTGGGAGTTGAAGTCCACGAGTCATAAAAGAGCCAAGGTGGCCTACCCCTGGGCTAATCGCTCTCTTACAGCTTGGGGAGGACCTCTCTATAGCAAATCACTTCTGAGAAATGTGGCCAAGATGGTTGCACAGGCTTGTCTAAGCAGACTACAAGTCAGAACTGCCTTGAAGGCTGACAGAAAAGGGGCTGTCCCCAAGTGTGGAGATGTGCAAAGTGTCTTCAAAAAACCCAAAAGGCAACTTGGACTTTCTTTTTGCCTGAAGACTGTTGAAGGAAAAGTCTTCATCCTGGTTCATCCAAGCCGGGGATAAATAAATAACATGGCGACTGCTTTAGAAAGAAGGTTGCAGTGTATTGAAGAGCCAGACCGAAAGATGGTTCTGGCAGGAAAGAGGAGAGAAAAGAAGGGATGAGCACGTGTGGGTAGTAGGTTTTTATACCCACTGAAGCATTTTGTTTGGAGTAGTTTCCTGTTCCTGTGTTGAGGCTTTGTATTTCCTGTGTCACGTATTCTGACCTGAGTCTGGGTGTGGCTTTCTGGTATTCTTGATGGTGGTGGGTTAATCCTATTATGTCCCAAGGGTTATATCCTGCTTCCCTGGTGATGGGGCTAATGACTCCTAGAGTTTGGGTGGGGTATGCAGATTTTAGGTGTCTTTGTCTTCTTGATCTCCTAGCTGGGGCCTTTCTGATGCTTTACATCTGCATTTGTACAGAGCTGGCTTCTGCTTGGGAGAGAGAGAGACTTGGGGGCAGAGTTGGTTTCTGCTTTTAAAATCCTTTTGAGGAAATATATTTTTCTGCCCTTTTAATATTTCCTTCTCTGGGGGGGGAGCCGACTTCCCACAAGATGTTTCGCTTCTCATCCAGTTCTGTCATCCAAGTCATGGCTGTCCCAAAGGTGCTTTTTCCCAAAGGCTTCCTTTGTTTTTGCTTGAAGAGGTTTCGCTTCTCCTCCAAGAAGCTTCCTCAGTTCTCGTATGAGAAGCAAAACGTCTTAAAGCAAAGATAAAGAAAGTCCAGCTGCCTTTGGAAAAAGCACCTTTGGGACATCCATGACCTGGATGACTGAGAATCTCCACAGACGTTCTCTCCGTGAGACTGATAACAAAACCTCAACTAATTTCATCAGTGCCTTTGCTTTGTCAGTTTATGGAGGAGAAATTGAAACATGGCAGAAGAACTGTATCCAGCAAACATCTTCCTGGAGCCCTTGTTCCAAGACTTGCGGAATGGGCATTTCCACAAGGATCTCAAATGATAACGCCCAGTGCCAGTTTATGAAAGAGAGCCGGCTCTGTATTCTGCGCCCTTGCGAGGTGGACATCACCAAGCACATTAAGGTATCTACTACGTAAGACTAGGTCAATTGAGGGAACTTTTGGAGGGCTGCAGTGGGAGTTTGATCAGGGTTGGACCCCCCCATGGGAAAGGTGGAGGGATAACAGAGTCTGAAGGGATCCTGGAGGTCTGCTAGTCCAACACCCTGCTCAAGCAGGAAACCCTTTCCCATTTCAGACAAATAGCAATAGCAATAAGACATAGACTGCTCCATAGTGCTTTACAGCAGAGGTCCCCAACCTTTTGGGCACAAGGGACCGGTTCTGTGGAGAGAGGTTTTTCTGCAGACTGGAGAATGCGTAGTTTTGTGTGCTGCCTGCATCCCACGGATGGGGCTTTGCTTGTTTGTGCGGACCGGTTGCTGGCATGCCGCGGCCCGGTACTGGTCCATGGACCAGGGTTTGGGGACCCCTGCTTTACAGCACTCTCTGAACAGTTTATATAATCAACATATTGCCCCCAACAATCTGGGTCCTCATTTTATGGACCTTGGAAAGGCTGAGTCAACCTCAAAAGGTGGTCCAATTTCTCCTTGAAAATCTCCAGTGTTGGAGCTTCTGGAGACAAGCTGTTCCACTGATTGTTTTGAGTGTCAGGAAATTCCATCTTAGTTCTAGGTTGCTTCTCTCCTTGATTAGTTTCCATCCGTTGCTCCTTGTCCTGCCTTCTGGTGCTTTGGACCCCTTCTTCTTTGAGGCAACCCCTCAAATATTGGAACACCGCTATCATGTCCCCCTTAGTCTTTCTTTTCATTAGACTAGACCAGGGGTAGGCAACCTCGGCTCTTTTATGACTCATGGACTTCAACTCCCAGAATTCCTGAGTCAGCAGGAATTCTGGGAGTTGAAGTCCATGAGTCATAAAAGAGCCAAGGTTGCCTACCCCTGGACTAGACCTACCCAATTTCATCAATAGAAATTTTGGGCTTAGTTGTGATCATTAAGTTGAAGACTACCTTTATGTTTTCTTTTTCTTTTAGAAAAGCTTGAAAGGATGTCCATTTTGGTCAACTTAAGTCGAATTTGCACCATCCATGATTAATTCTTTTCGTGTCTCTTCTCTTCTCCCTTTCTTGTAGCCTGGGAAGAAATGCTTAGCAGTGTACAGAGGAGAGGAGCCCATGAACTATACGCTCTCTGGGTGCACAAGTAAGGTCAACTACAGGCCTAAGTACTGTGGCCTTTGTATGGATGACCGTTGCTGTACGCCCTACAAATCAAAGTCCATTGAAGTCAACTTTCACTGTCCAGATGGGACCAGCTTTTCCAGGAAAATCATGTGGATTAATGCCTGTTTCTGCAACCTGAGTTGCAAGAACCCCAATGACATCTTTGCTGACTTAGCTCATTATCATGATTACTCGGAAATTGCTAATTGACTTGACAGGAGTTGATGGGAGGGGGGGAAAGGAGAAGCACAAGAGGGAAAAAAAAAAAAACAGGCTGCCAAGACCTACAATGTATTATTACTCTGATTTTACAGAGGGTTAAAAATTAATAATTAAAGAAGAGGTTGTTTTTTTTGTTGTTATTGCAACTGTTTCACCTGGATTTATATATATATATATATATTTCATCATGGTGGCTTAAAGCTGCCTTTGGCTCAATCTGTGGGTTTTAGAAGTCATGCTGGGAACAAATTGTTGGAAAGCAGACCGTTAGAAGGTCTTTGTGCGTTATCTACAGCTGCGTGAGAGACTAAATCAGCTTTTAATATCAGGTTTCTGATCTATCAGGCACAAAATTGCAAAGAAACTAATGGGATATTTCAGCTTTGAACCCGTTTGCCTTTCCTTTCTCCTACATATTTCATAAAGTTCAGTAATAGTGGCACTTAACTTTGTAAATAAGCTCATAAAAGTTACCAGCCTGTTGTATGAGCTAACCAGCTGTGAGCTGAGCCATGTGAGAAATTATGGAGAAAAATGGAGATTTCCTATCCTTGCAAAACCACCATCCGTTTCTGAGCTGTGCATAAAGGAGGGAGCGTTCCCAGGAACAGGGAACACAACTCCCTTCCCTGAAGAAATGGGTCTTTTTCAACTTTAAGGTGGCAAGGCTGGCTTGGGAATTCTGGGAGATCTGTTTCCCCAGCATATAATAATAATAATAATAATAATAATAATAATAATAATAATAATAATAATAATAATAATAACAAAAATAACAATAATAATAATAATAATAAAGTTGGAAGGGACCTTGGAGGTCATCTAGTCCAACCCCCTGCTCAGGCAGGAAACCCTATACCATTTCAGACAAATGGCTGTCCAGTCTCTTCTTAAAAACCTCCAGTGTTGGAGCATTCACAGCTTCTGGAGGTGAGGAGTTCCACTGGTTAATTGTTCTCACTGTCAGGAAATTTCTCCTTGGTTCTAGGTTGCTTCTCTCCTTGGTCAGTTTCCATCTGTTGCTTCTTGTCCTGCCTTCAGGCGCCTTGGAAAATATTCCACACCAGGCACCAGTTTCATGGAAGCCATGGTTTGGCACACAACCTAGCTCCCGTGTGTGTGGAGAAGACGTTTTGCTCGCCCGCCCGGTATAGCCCGGTTCCTAACAATCCATGGACCGGTACCAGTCTGTGGCCCAAGGGTTGGGGACCCTTGTTGTAGAAGCCTTTAAAGTCAACAACCAGTGCCTTCTGGTTCCCCCCCTCAAAGGGCCGTGTTTTTGAGTGGCAAAGACGAGCCAGTGAACAGGGAGATCATGTCTTCAACCTCTGCGCCCCACCAATTTCACATGCTTGGAATTGGCAAATCACCAACTGCTGCTCAGGTTTCACGTGTCCCAAGTTGTTTAAATGCCAGTCTATAGCTACCTAAGCTTCTTTTTATCCTTTCCTAACTGGTCTGATTAAATCAGTGGTTCTCAACCTTTTTAATGCCGCGACCCCCAACCGGTCGTTAAGTCGAGGACTAAACCGGTCATAAGTCGAGGACTAAACCGGTTGTAAGTCGAGGACTACCCAACCGGTCGTAAGTCGAGGACTTTCCCTGCCCGGGAGCACCGCGCATGCGTGGTTCCGTCCCCTGCGCCGGCCGAGGCGTAGCTGGCAAGCAGCAGAGATGGAGCAGGCCGACCATCAGCTGGCCCAGCCCAAGGGAGGTAAGGCACCCGCCGGAAAAGGGGGAAAAATGGCGGACAGCCTTGCTTGCCGACCCCCGTGAAATGGTCGATCGACCCCAAATGGGGTCGCGACCCATAGGTTGAGAACCGCTGGATTAGATGCCCTTTGGTAAACTGCCACCCTCCAGATTTACAAGGACACTGGTTGGAAACTAGCTTAGTTGTGATCTTGACACACAAGAGGTAGGCTAGGGAAGAAAGAAAGACTGACTTTTAATGTGTTTTTTTTTAAAGTCCTGCTCATTCAGTTATTCTTAATAAAAAGCATTATTCCTCCTGCTCCTCTTCCACTCCCCCACAAACAAACCTCCTTATCACTATTCTGGACACACACACAAAAACCCAAACACTGCAAAGTTACAAATTTATTTTGTTTGAAATAAATACAAATAATTCATTAATAAACTTTCCCCCAAATAGGCAAGTCGAGCCTCTCTATTACAATCTGCTATTCCTCATTATAAAGTTTCCAGAACACTTTGAAGTTGTTATTTGAAGGAGGAAAAAACAAACAAAAAAAACCCAAGGCAATTAGCCTTAAGGTGGAAATCAGTTCTCGTGAACTACCTCAGATATTCAGCTCCAGAGATGCTAAATGATGTAAATGCTCAATATCCAAAAATTCATTAGCTATATTAAGTCTTTGTGAAGTAGCAAACAGATCAAGCCAGTGGAAAAATAGATATAATTATGTTTCTATAAAAACTAGAATTCTCATCTATGCCAGAAACCTGTCGAGCTGTCTTGCTCATAGCTTCCCATCCTGTAGCGCTGCAGACACCGGCAAAGTAGCTTTTAAACTGTAGAATCAATACAATCTAATTTTACAATCATCAAACTAAATCTCTTATTACAGCTTTGCCTCTTCCTCCGACATTTTTCGGACATTTATCCGGCCCCAATTTCAAAGTCTTAAGAGGTTGATCAGATAGTTCTTTGTAATCACTATACACGAAATTCCACTGTCTTAATTTACTGCTAGAGTAAATTCAAGAATGAGATGCTTGTTACTTCTGCCCCAAACTCTTTTGAAGCAAATATTGGAGAGGTGAATGAGTGGGTGGGGGTATCCCTGCAGGAAAACCGTGCAACACCAAAGTGGTTTAATTACAGTAAAGACAACAGCTTTATCTATTGCTGCTGCTTCTTAAAGATCACCCGCTGAAATGCAAAATTTAAGACCAAATGTGGTACGTTTCTAAAAACCCCGAACCCTTACTCTTGATTAAGCAGCATGAAAGGACTGCAACTAAGTTCTCAGGTCTGGAATCTCCAAAAGGCAGTGGGCTTTGCCTCCCAAGTTGTATCGATTTCCCCGTTTTTAATGTGGTTGTGTAGCAAATAAAGAGCTTGGATGCTATCCATGAAGCCGGTCACTCAACTCCCTTTGAGGAATAGGTATAGTCAGACCTGAGGATGAAGAGTTTTGAAAATCTCTCACTGTTTTCTTTTCTTTCTTCCTCACCTCTCCTTCCACAATGAAGTCTTAAAATCAGATTGGGAAAAAAACCAATACGGTTTCATTTTTAGAACTGGGTAAAAGGAGAGCCAAAGATGACCCACGACCCATGAGCTTCAGGCAATCAGTTTCCGAAAAAGACAGAAAGAATAGGTTGCAATTTTGGATCTTATAGATCAATAACTGGATGAGTGTTAAAAGCCATCTAGAAGTAGCTGGAAAGAAGATCAGCCATTTGATTAGGGAAAGAGAGCATCTGAGATGTTTGGTGTTTTTTTTTATTGGTCCCCATGGATTTGAGGAAGGGAGGGGCAGAGATCCATTTGTTATGGGGAACACCTTAGGTTAAATATTGCAATGCACAGCCTGAGGCGGCTTGATCATGGTTTTGGACTAGGCCAGCATCATTTAACAGGACACTTCCATTGACTTGGGGCTCGACTGTCCACTGGTCTTGGCAGAATTAGAACTCAGCTCGATGTCTGCGGCAGCCTGATTCCGGGGAGCTTCCCCAGTTTGGGCCCTGCTTCTGGGGCCCTCGCCTGTGTGAGACCGACTTCGGGCACCTTCCGCGGTGTGGGATCGGCTCCTGTTCCCTTCCATGGATGTGACACTGGAGCCGGAAGCTGTGCGGGATCTCATTAGTCTGGTCATGCTTGCGGAAGGCACTGTCAACGGGAAAACTCGGCGTTAGGAGGAGATACATTCATTTGCAATGACCATTATTTAAAAATGGAGGAGGGTGTGTGTGTGTGTGTCTGTGTTGCATGCAGTTTTTTCAGCCAAGAACCAAATTAGGCCACGGATGAAAGCGTGAGTAAGATCAGGATAAGAAATACATTGCTTTATTTATTTATTAACTGATCTTACTGTCAGGCATCAAAGATCAGGTCCACAGGTAAAGGTCCAATTAATCTGATTTATGACTACTCAGGCCTACGCACAGCAATCTTCTCAACTAATAGCTAGTACCTGCTTGGAATTAGGTAGGGGTCAACAAAATTCAAGGGGGGTTGCCCTTAGTTTGGCTTGTAGCTACATAGAGATTCTAGACTCGCCCCTCTTTTAACTCCATCCCCAGTTCTGCCACTCCTTCCATTATACTTACATAGTTAACAGAATTATTTTTCTCCTTTTTCATGATGGTTAACGTTTATCGCATTAAAACATGTATATATGGGGAGGCTCTGGAGACTACACCCAAGGCTCCAAAGAACAGGGTTTATTTATGTAGTTTTTCTACCCAATACCACAAGACAAAACCCCAAGACAAAAATCTACTGATTATAAGTGTTTATAAGATTATAAGAAGAAGGGAAGAAGAGAGAACCACAAAATCTCCAGAGATAACAATAACCAAAGCAGACCATCAGTCAGATATATCGGGACTTCTCGAACAAAAGCAACTGAATGCATCGTACACAGTTTCAGCCACACAGACAACCACCTGGGACAGCAACTTAGCCAAAAAATTTTTTTCAAGCAACAACTACTTACTGTATCCCATTCCCTGGATGAAGTATTTGAAAGCTTCAGCAAGCTTGGCAGGCTGTAAAAAGGAAACGCAGCATGAATGTAATTATCACCTGTTATTAAATATTTCCAAAAAAGGAGATTTGGACAAAGAGTAGTCAAAACAAAAGACCTCAGATCCATTGAATGCGTTTACAACTGTGGAAGAAATTGCCAGCTTAAATATCTCTGAGACCCAACACTAAAACCTATGATGAAGTCACCTTGGTATGGTTACCTAATTCATAGTCTGGTTAGTTAGTTAGTTGGTTATTTATTTACTTCCTGGCCTTTATTATTTTTACAAATAACTTAAGGTAATAAATATATACAGCACAATTTTTTTCCTCCTATTTTTCCCCCACAATAACAACCCCGTGAGGTGAGTTGGGCCTGGCTGAGGAATTCTGGGAGTTGAAGTCCACAAGTCATAGAAGGGCCAAGTTTGAAGACCCCTGGACTAGAACACAGTCTCTTTGTTTGTTTTCTAGTCAGCTACCTTAACCACTAGATCAGTGGTTCTCAACCTTTTTAATGCCGCGACCCCAACCGGTCGTAAGTCGAGGACTAAACCGGTCGTAAGTCGAGGACTAAACCGGTCGTAAGTCGAGGACTACCCAACCGATCGTAAGTCGAGGACTTTCCCTGCCTGGGAGCACCGTACATGCGTGGTTCCGCCCCCTGCGCCAGCCAAGGCGTAGCTGGCAAGCGGCAGAGACGGAGCAGGCCGACCACCAGCTGGCCCAGCCCAAGGGAGGTAAGGCACCCACCGGAAAAGGGGGAAAAAATGGCAAACAAAAAAAATGGCGGACAGCCTTTCTTGGCGACCCCCGTGAAATGGTCGATCGACCCCAAATGGGGTCCCGACCCACAGGTTGAGAACCACTGCACTAGATCAAAATGGCTGCTCTCAATTCTACCTATGGAGTTTTGCTTTCCAACACAGATGGTAAGTATAAATAAATGGATCTGGTTTGCAATAGACCAAATCTTGTGAAATTCTCTTCAGTACTCATTATTTCCGGTCGCCCCAAATCAATTCTCACCTGGGAAACCTGAGGAAGACCACCACAGTCAGCCATCTGCAAAAGAAAAAGTAGTCAGTAATGTTTTAATTTTTTAAAAAATCCTACTTTCTCAACAATACCAGTTTACTTGCCCTGACTTTACAACCATCTATATAGGAAGAACAGATTTTATCATTGGATGCGAGAAGCAAAAAGATTTCTGGATATATCATAGAGACATTAAAGAGATGTTTCTGTTTAAAGGTGGGGATGTATTTTTACCCTTCTGGCGATAATGTTCACTCAGAAATCTGTAATATTAAATCTGAAATATTAAAATTCAGAAGAATTTTAAGGAGGGGTTTCTAACCAAAGTAATATTCCATTTTAGCTGGAGATTCCTAATGCCTGCTGGTAAAGGGATAGAGAAGATACTTATTTTCCAAATGGAATAATTAATAATAATAGCTAAGAGGTCTTAACCCACACTTTGTTCATAGCATATAACGGGATCTTCAAACTTGGCCCTTTTATGACTTGTGGACTTCAACTCCCAGAATTCCTCAGCCAGGCACACTGGCTGAGGAATTCTGGGAGGTGAAGTCCATAAGTCATAAAAGGGCCAGGTTTGAAGACCCCTGACATATAATGTCCTTCATATCAGTCCTTCAGATATGCTGACCTTCAACTCCCAGAATTCCACTCAGTTGTTTGGGAATTCTGGGAATTCACAGGCAAATACATCTGTACTGGTAGGCACCAAATTAGGGAGGCTATTCTCTACCACAGTTCTGCTGAATGAATATCCCTTATTTCTTTTTTTGTTTTAGTCTCCATTTCTTTGTGAGAATGGGCAAGTTACTAGCTGAAAAGGCATAAATTAACTAAATGAATGATGACTGGATTCACTATGCAAAGTTTGGAGTTAAAGCATTTGAGGGGTCTGTACGGTTTGAGGGAAAACTCTGGACAAAACCAATTGTTGACGAATTGTTATCAAATTTCCAGAACGGAACTATAACTCTGAAGGTTCTGCCATCCTTCAGATCCATCAGCATGTTTTTGATTCACCGCCCAACTTCTAAACGAAACAAACCGTTTGCATTGGTGGGAAAAATCTGAAAGAACTTTCCACCCGCCCAATGGACCGTCGTTCTGTCCCCCTTTGCCAGATCAGGAATATAGGAAAAATTGTTAATTCTGTTCCAAATGGCACCCCGTCATCACCAGTACGAAATGGACCCCTCCATCCACTCAAAGACTAAATATAGAACGAGGAATGTGAACAAATGGCTCGAGTTCCAGAAAGATCTGTCTGGCAGTACCCAGAATGCCCGAAGTAAGCTCTCATCCCCAGAACCTTCTTAAGTGTTTACTGTATTAAGCTCGATACAGATCAATCGTATACGGTAGGCTATGAAATGGTCCACGTTTACCGTGTGAACCTGCACGCTTCCCTCCTAGCAGGATTAAAATCTATTACGGGATAAATTTCTAAACATAGTAGTAGCGTTACCTTCTGACCCCCTAATTACATTTAAGAGCCCTAATGCCTGTGCAAAAATGTAGGTCAGTGATTCTGCAGTCAAGGAGAAGGGAGACTTCCATACGTCTAGCCTCCAGCTTCCCGCCTCTCCTTGATTTCACTACCATTTGCTAGTTTATCTCCAAACCAGTTGCACTGCTCTAAGTACTAATGCCTGGATCAAAACACTCTAGTCCGGGAGTGGCCAACCTTGGCCACTTCAAGACCCGTGGACTTCAACTCCCAGAATTCCCCAGCCAGCCATGCTGGCTGGGGAATTCTAGGAGTTGAAGTCCACGGGTCTTCAAGTGGTCAAGGTTGGGCATGCCTGCTTCTAGTCCTTTTCACAACAATTTGAACTCTTTCTTACAAATCCCAAGGAGCTCTGCCTTGGGCCCAGTGGTGGGATTCAAATATGCGAACAACCGGTTCTCTGTGTGGATGCCACTTCCGGAAGTCCATTCTGGGCCTGGGCCATAAAAAATTAGCTACCGGTTCTGCCGAAGTGGTGCGAACCGGCTGAATCCCACCACTGCTTGGACTCCAGCGGTTACCTTTAGAAGCGTAGTCTTTGTTGGGTCAAGTTTAGCGTTGCAGTCCACCTGTGAGGAAAAGGAACAGAGAGAAGGAAAGAGAAGCTGAGTTTTCATATCACACCTTCAGAAAAACCTCTTGTATGCAGCTTTACTTGCTTTAAGGCTAAGTCCCAACTAGCGAAGGAATTCCATTAGAAGTAGTCTCCAACTTCCAGCCGTTCATTTGGTGACCGTTTGAAGTCACAACGGTGTTGTAGAAAGTGACTTACAACCAGTTCTCGCACCGATGACCGGCCGCAGTGTCCTCCACGGTGACCATTCTGATTTGGGGTGCTTGGCAACTATCACACATTTATCACGCGATGACGGTTTGTGAGCTCGGCCAGCTCCGAACAAGCAAAATCAATGAGGAAGCAGCAATTTGCGATTACGTGGTGTTTCACTTAATGACAGCACCACTTAACAACGAATTGTCCAATCTCTACTAGGGCGGTAAGTCAAGAACTACCTGTAGAGGATTTTCGGAAGTCACTAATGAAATTCTGGATGCTTAAAAAGAATATCACTGGATATTCCATTATTTTTTTCTGATGCTCCACTGCTTCTTAACAGGCAGGAACAGGAATTGTTTTCCTGTTTTTCACAAATCTAGCTTAAGGTTGCAAAAGTTCAAAGCTGGCAGCGGCTCCCATTAACTCTCCTTTGCTCTCCCCATTTTACTTATTTGCTGGCATTCAAAAAAACAGGACTTCTGAAATTATGCCGTAAACCCCATGTAGCCTGAGGACCCCAAGTTATCTATCTACCCCAGGTTTCAGGACTGTCAGCTACGAAAGGAATTTAATCCCTATCCTTGTCTCTCACCAGCTGCCAGGATGCTTTCATTTCGATTCCTGCTTGAACAGACGACTGGATTTAATATCCAAATGACCCACTTCCAAACCTGTGCTATTCTTTAGATCGGGAGAGAAACTCTCATTGTTGACTACAGGTACTGCTTTTTATCCCTGTAAGAACTAAATTGCCTAGTTGGAATTTTTCACTGAAAACATGATGCAAGTAGATAAGGCTGTGATTAAGTAGCTTCACTTAGCCATGAAGCTTAATGAGTAGCTTCAATTAAATCATTACTCTTCGGTCTAACCTGATTTGACTGAAATGGGTGAGGAATACAATTGTTGGGATTATTTTCAAGGTGCCAGCTTGAGATGGCTAGTCTCAACCTATCTCAGAAAGTTAGAAAGATATGATGGCAATCAACTCACAGAATTGATCTATCTTGGCCCAGGATCCAGAATTCCAGGTGAGAAAGCAGTCATACTGGCTGTACTTAATATTTTATATCTCAGCCTTGGGAACTGGTACATTATTAGACTTGGGTTATCAGTCCTAGATAAACTGCTAATTTCCAAAAGTTGTTCCCCCCCATCTCCAAGTAACTTTAATGGACTGTTAGTGACCTTATTTCAAATCCTGGAGGGCAGAAGTCAAAATAAACAAGATGCGATCCTTAAAGAGAAATACCGAATGACGCTGCATGCTCAAGAGAAAACTGGGGTTTCATTCATTCATTTTCTGCCTTTGCTGTTATGTACGTACCACAGCGTCAACTGCAGGAGAGCTGTCTCCAACCACCAACAGTGCAGGGCACCTGAAAAAACACACAATTAAAATAGTCATTTCATAATGCTCAATGGCTTTGCACTTCTTTAAGGAAGTGATTCTAACTGTATCAGAAAAAAAACGAAGTTGTTGGTTGAGCAAATCAGACTCAAGGTGTTGGCTTGTTGACTAAATAAACCCATTAATTTTCGTAAAAACCTAAACACAGCCAAACTGTTGCAGTCTACTGAAAACCGTCAAAAGTTTATTTAGGAGAATATGAGTAATGCCGGATTTTTTCCCCCACCCCACCCCCAAATACATAAAGGCAATTTCAAAAGTGATGATTATGCTAGCTTTAATGTTTGCACTTTTTAGCCCAAACAGCGATATAACATAAATACTTCTATCACTGCAGTAGCTCTTAGTGCCTTGCTCCCTGGTTGCTGCTATGATAGGCTAAAAATCTTTTCATTTTCACCATAACAAAACCGAATGTACGGTTGGAAATCTAATTTAGAGACTCGGGGACCCATTTCTATTCAAGGATCAGTTTCTTCTGCAATCACTAATTCTTGGCTTCTACCATTTATCGTTTTTGTCTTTTTGGCGAGTATCTTAAGAGTCAGTGTTGACTCCTGGTGATGGCCTGGACAAGTCCCTGCGGCCTTCTTGGCAAAGTTTTTGAGGATTTGCCCTTGCAATCCAACCCTCCTTCCTAGGGCTGAGAGGCAGTGACTGGCTCAAGATCTCCTTGTAATAATAATAATAATAATAATAATAATAATAATAATAATAATAATAATAATAATAATGATGATGATGATGTTGGAAGGGACCTGGGAGGTCATCTAGTCCAACCCCATGCGCAGGCAGGAAACCTTATACCATTTCAGACAAATGGCTGTCCAGTCTCTTCTTAAAGACTTCCAGTGTTGGAGTATTCACCGCTTCTGGAGGCAGGTTGTTCCATTGGTTAGTTGTTCTAACTGTCAGGAAGTTTCTCCTTAGTTCTAGGTTGCTTCTCTCCTTGATTAGTTTCCACCCGTTGCTTCTTCTCTTGCCTTCAGGTGCTTTGGAGAATAGCTTGACTCCCTCTTCTTTGTGGCAGCCCCTGAGATATTGGAAGACTGCTATCCTGTCCCCCCTCGTCCTTCTCTTCATTAAACTAGACATACCCAATTCCAGCAACCGTTCCTTATATGCTTTAGCCTCCAGTCCCCTGATCCTGTTTGTTGCTCTTCTCTGTACTCTTTTTAGAGTCTCAACATCTTTTTTACATCGTGGTGATCAAAACTAGATGCAGTAAACCACAATTTATTTCTTAAATTGGTATGGTCCAAATTGCAGTAGAAACTGGGAAGGTGGTTTTATAATAATCTTGGGTCAAAAGATAACGTTTATTGTCATTTTTTTTCTTGTGGGCACAATGGCACACATTAAAAAAAATGAAATTTAGTTGCCTCCTCTCAACGTGTACACATACAGAACACACATTTAAAACATACTAGTGGACTCCACTTACTACCATGTTCTTAGCATTGGCCTTCATCAACTGAGGCTGACTTTTGGCAAGGTCAACTATCAGCTTCTGATCAAGGCTACATTAGCTAGGGCTGTTAAGCCACCCTTTTGGTGAGCCAGCATTCCCCCCCCCCTTTGTGTATTTTGCAATGTTGTTGGCATCACCAGGATTTTTACCCTTTGCAGAAAGAAGGCCAAGAAAATTCTACGTCCCCTTTTCTAACCCAACATTTAAAAGGCAGATTGTAACAAAAACTTACTGCAGAGTAACAACATTTACTCCTGGAGCCGGACGCTCAATGTCTAGATCTCTTCGGCTATAAAACAGACAGGAAACAATTGTAGGAAGTTATTACATATGCAACTTTTAAAGCCCGTTTCCCCCCAAAAGTAGGAAGAAGCCATCAATATGAGAGTTGTGGCTAATGTGTATTCCCAACTAAACGAGTAGATGTTTAGAGGACTGCTAATCTGGCACTCTAGCTTTCAATTAAATTTTGAGTACAGGTAGTCCTTGACTTACAACAGCTCATTTGGTGACCGTTCGAAATTAAGATGGCATTAAAAAAAATGACTTATAACCGTTTTTCAATACTTATGACTGTTACAGCAGCCCTGTGGTCACATGATCAAAATTCAGACGCTTGGCAACTGGTTCATATTTATGACGGCTGCTGTGTCCCAGGGATCATGTGATCACTTTTGGCCACCTTCCGACAAACAAACTCAAACTCTGAAGCCAGATTCACTTAACAACCATGCCACTAACTTAACAACTAAAATGATTCACTTAACAACTGTGGCAAGAAAGCTCATAAAATGCGGCAAAACTCACTTAACTGTCTCACTTAGTAGCAGAACTTTTGGGCTCATTGGTGGTGGTGGTAAGTCAAGGACTACCTGAATTCAGTGTTGTTCCAAAAGATTAAAAAGCATAACGCCCAGATCTGAAAAGTTTACTCAACAGAAGGAAACAAATGTCATCAGATCTATCACTCTTTAAGTTTTAATACTCCCTTTCCTTCCCTCTCTCTGGAATTCTCCCTTCAAGGGGTTTTCATCGACAAGTTTAAAAGTCAAGTGGGAATCTCAAGTTTACAACTAAGCTTCTCATAGGAGCTGTGTAGAAGGATCTCCAAAACAATCTGGGATCCTGTTACCGATTCCCCCCTGATTAGCCAACAGCAAATATTTTCCAATGTGTTTTGAGAAGCTCGCTGGCCTATTACCTGTTGTAAGAGTTGACAAATAGATGGAGATTGTTCTGGTTCATGTCACCGATGATGTGCTGGCGGTAAGTATGGATCAAATCGTGGCTGCTGTGAATCTCCTCCTAGATTTCATGTAGGCATGGATATAAGGTTAGGGAGTGAATTTGTAACAACCACCTAATCAAGGAACCACAATGTACACTCCCACCAATACTGACAGGGCAAGTCACCTGTATATCAACAGAGAGCAAACCCCACTCCTTTCTAGCATTGAGGGTGTTACCTAGTTGGCTAATGAAATGAGGGAGGGAGGGAGAGGGAGAGGGGGAGAGGGAGAGAGAGAGAGATATTGGGCCTAACCAAATAAGATAAAAAATAATAACAACAGGAAAATGTAAAATAATTCTTCTATTGCAGGGGTCTTCAAACTTAGCCCTTTTATGACTTGTGGAACTTCACTGGCTGAGGAATTCTGGGAGTTGAAGTCCACAAGTCATAAAAGGGCCAGGTTTGAAGACCCCTGTTCTATTGTATGGCTAGCACACCTTGGCTACAATCAATTATTAGTATCCTGAGCAGTAAGATGAAGGTTGAGCTTTATATTTTAATATGACTGTTCAAGAAGTAGGCTTACCTTGGCAAAGAGATGTGAAATGACCATCTCTGGTAAAGCATGAGCCCATCCAGAAATCTAGACATTGTGTTTTTTTTTTTTTAAAAAAAAGAAAGTACATTAGGATAATTTAAATATTCCATCGATCATGTATCATTACCTAAGTTATGTAATACACTGACATTCAATTATATACTTCAAGAACTACACTTCCTTCCCTCATTAAATATATCATCCTGAAAGGATACACTGGCCTCTTATATTGTATGAATTTCTCACTCTAGAGTTTCAACGGATGAAGAAACATTAAAAACAACAATAACTTGGCTATGAGTCCCAAATAAACCCAAATGTTTATTTCTGCAATCCCTGCACTTCTAAGCACACCTTGATCTGTTTTTAAGGTTAGTTTAAACAAATGAGGTTTTTTACCTTGGTTGCGGCCCAGTCCATCCACCCTTCGGCACATGGATTGACGTTGATAAGAACGAGTCCTTCCACCATATCAGGATAGTTAAGCTGCAGATTGAAGAGGCACATGAGCAAACAGCCAGATGCAGAGACAGAAGCAACCTAGAACTGAGAGAAGCAACCTAGAACTAAGGAGAAATTTCCTCAGTTAGAACAATTAATCATGGAACGACTTGCCTCCAGAAGTTGTGAATGCTCCAACACTGGAAGTTTTTAAGAGGTTGTCTGAAATGGTATAGGGTTTCCTGCTTGAGCAGGGGGTTGGACTAGGAGACCTCCAAGGTCCCTTCCAACTCGAATAGAGTAGAGTAGAGTAGAACAGAATAGAAGCTGGAAGGGACCTTGGAGGTCTTCTAGTCCAGCCCCCTGCTCGAGCAGGAGAACCTATATTGTCTCAGACAAGTGGATGTCAGGTCTCTTCTTAAAAACCTCCAGTGATGGAGCGCCCATGATTTCTGGAGGCAAGTTGTTCCACTGGTTGATTGTCCTCACTGTCAGGAAATTTCTCCTTAGTTCCAGGTTGCTTTTCTCTTTGGTTAATTTCCAACCATTGTTTCTCGTCCTTCCATCTGGTGCTTTGGTGAACAACATGACCCCCTCTGCTGCTGCTGCTGCTGCTGCTGTTGTTGTTGTTATTATTATTATTATTATTGGAAGAGAGGTAAAACATGGGAACTTTTTTTGAGGAAGAGGATTTCCTTCGCATATCATTATTCTGAAGATCTGTTGGAAGTGGACATTTATTTATTAAATAGATACACCCAGTAACCATCTTATTTGAAGATAATTTTAAGGTCTTCCAGGGCAAACAACATGTCGCGTGCAGAGGGTCTGCAAGAGTTCAGAACTCCTTAGAGTTCTGAACTCTTGCACATCGGAGCAGTATTGTCACCTGAATGATACAAATTGGGTTTTTCTGTTGTGGTGGGGAGTAAATAAGAAATTGTCAAGCGCTGGAAATCAGGAGTCCAGGCAGTTCAATTGAATATATAGGTTTATTGTGTGCTAAAGCTTTTTACAAGAGTCTGAACTACTAATGGTAGTAGTAGTACTAGTAGCAAACTAGTGGTAGATAAAATTCAATGGAATTCAAAGAGGGCTGGACTTAGATCTCTTGTGGGCACAAAGGGATTTAAGACTAATGATGCATTTGACCCCTCCCTCAAGCTCAGCCTGGTCATCTCCTACAGAAATATTATGAAATATTTCCACTCTGTACTTTGGCTGCTCAAGTCTCAGCCATTTCTTGGTGAAGAAGTTACGTCACATTTTGATTTTTGTTTGACACTAGATGTCCGCTACTCAATTAAAGTTGAGCATATCAGAAGACGTGAAGCTGAAAACAGTGTCCTGTACTCAAGTTTATAGTACCGTAGTTACACAAAATGTGCAACTAGAAGGGAAGCAGACCCACCCCCATTCCCAACTTACAGCAAATCGTGTTAAAATGTAGGCCCCAGCTCCAGTTCCCATTCCGATCACGCTTTTCAGTCTAAAAAACAAAACCAAAACCCAGCAAGTTAGAAATAAAATTATGGATATTTAATGTATGTATGTATGTATGTATGTATGTATGTATTAAAAAGGAACGTGAAGTCAAGTATTGGTTTCTAATGCCTTCCACTTCTGAATATTCTATTTCATATTCAATATGCATCCCAGTTGCTCCATGCCCATATAGAACAGAATGAAGGTCATTTGGACAAGGTAGCACCATCCAACTATTTCCATTCCCTCAACAAACAGGCAAGCAAAAAACAAACAAAAATTGTCAACAGCAGTAGCCCTTAAAGATGGCATGAAGATTTAAGAGTTGACCTCATGCTCTAGATATGTCAAGGTAAATAGTTCAGTCTTAGCTCCCATCCACAAAGCAAATATTTGCTTTAATCATATTGACTAGTTTAATAATTAGCTCTGCAGGTTTTAGACTTCTTCGTACAAGAACAGATTTGGCACAACTTAGATGCAGAAAGGAGGCGGCTAAGTAGCGCAGCCAGTGGCGTAGCGTGGGTTGTCAGCACCCGGGGCAAGGCACCCCCCCCTCCACAGTGGGCGGCGTCGGCGACCCGGCGGCTCGGATCGGATTCGCACAGCCAGCACTGCAAAGAGAGTGAGTGAGCCAGGCAGAGAGCTGCGAGTGCGAGCGCGCCCCCCCAGATGTTGCGCCCGGTGCGGCCGGCCCCCCCTGCACCCCCCACGCTACGCCTCTGAGCGCAGCAAACATTTAAGTAAAATTGAGTTTTCTTTATATTGAAATTTAAACGAAACATATTGCTTAATAACCAGTCAACCTTTTAATTCAGAAACCTACCACAGAATCCACAGAGGGAGTAAATTTAGATATTTCTCTACTAGTGCAGAGGTCCCCAACCTTTTGGGCACCAGGGACCAGTTCTGTGGAGAGAGGTTTTTCCATGGACCGGAGGGTATGTGATTTTGTGTGCTGCCTGCATCCCGTGGATGGGGCTTTGCTTGTTTGTGTGGACTGGTTGCTGGCATGCTGTGGACCGGTACTGGTCCACGGACCGGGAGTTGGGGACCCCTGTACTAGTGGACTCATAACAAAATAAAATATGGTTTGGGGATGTGGCAGATGGAACTTCAAGAACCTGCTTCTAAAAGCAGAACGTTCAACACATCTATTATTACTATATCTGTCAGATGTGGAGGTTTTCTTTTTTCAATTAACCAGCGCAGCCAGAGAGATGTGGAATCCTTCAACCATGAGTGCTCCAAAATACAAAGGATTCTAAAACCTCTCCACTTCTAATAACATTCAGAGAAAACAAGACAGATAGGTGACAGTTTTCTTAGATGTTCTGGGGATGTTGTGAAGGAACAGGAAAATGGTTTCCCTGAAGCTTGACTGAAAAACTTGAAGTTTCTATTAGCAGACAATGCTACTCACCCAAATTGTTTCAGGACTCCAGGGAGCATTTCAGACAGTTGATCCATGGAAGGATACATGTACCTATAAAACAAATGTTAGAAGGACATCACTTGTTTTCTAAAGCATGAAAATTGTTGTACTCGTTCTACTTCATTCTGGGTTGGGTCATCTCAAACCTAGCTCCTCACTTAAGAAGGATTCAGGGAAAGTGGAACAGGTTCAGAGGAGGGCGGCAACAACAACAACAAACCAAGCAGTAGAAACTCAGACCAGCAAAGACAGTTTGAAGGAACTGGGTTTGTTTAGCCTTGAAGAAAGATAACTAGAGGGAACTGTGGCACATTACAAATCCTTTAAAGCAGGGGTCTTCAAACCTGGCCCTTTTATGACTTGTGGACTTCAACTCCCAGAATTCCTCAGCCAGCCACGCTGGCTGAGGAATTCTGGGAGTTGAAGTCCACATGTCATAAAGGTGTCAAGTTTGAAGACCCCTGCTTTAAAGGATGCCACGTCAAAAAGGGCAGTTTTTCCAACATTCTTAAATTGCAGCATTCCAGTATTAGGTTCAAGTTACAGGAAGGCAGAACTTCCTAACAGTAAAACCAGTCTGAGATCAGACATGACTAACCAAAGAGGTGGTGGGTTTCCACTTACTGGATTTATACAAGAGATGGTTAGACTACCCAAACAGGAGCTTGGACTTGATGACCTTGAAGGCTCCTTACAATTCTAGCCACAATCCCGTAACCATTAACAATACGGTACCAATTACTAAACAAGCCCATATGAGATCTAGATGCCATCTACAGATAGTCCTTGACTTATGACAACTTAGCCCAGCATTTCCATTGCTAAGCAATACAGTTAAGTGAGTTGAGCCCATTTTACAACCTTTTTGCCAGTTATTAAGTGAATCGCTTCAGTTGTTAAGTGAATCGTGTGTGTGTGTATACGTGTGTGTGTGTGTATAAAATTTTTTAACCACCCACCTCCCTTATAGAATCAAGCAGTTGTTAAACGAATCTGGCTTCCTCCATTGACTTTACTTGTCAGATCCCAGCTGGGAAGCTTACAAATGATGATCACATGACCCCAGGAATACTGAACTGTCAAAAACCAGCACCCTAATTTTGATCATGTAACCATGGGGATATTGCAACGGCCATAAGTTTGAGACCTGGATATAAAGGTTATTCCCCCCCCCCCCCCGCTGTTGTAATTTCAAACGGCCTGGAGAAGAATTAAGAATCTTAATTCTTCCTGGAGAAGAATTAAGAATCAGGAAATTAAAAATGTGCTTCAGAAAACAACAACAACAAAAACCTGGCCAGTAAAATCCATCCCCCCCTCCATTTCCCATATGAATAATTTTGGAATTGAGACTATAAAATCTGAATTAAAATCCACAGAATTAGCAGGAGCCACTAACCCAGGCGGGAAAGAGGGCGCTCCGTCTTGCTGTCCAGGGGCATCCACGTGGCAGACCGCAAAATGCTGGGTGATTTCCTGCATGTCCTCATAATTGAAGAGGGGGTTGAAGCACGTTTTGTCTTTGGAGGGAAGCAGAGGAGAAGGCAAAACTTGGAAAAGGGCGTTCTCAGGATTGAGTAACCGCCGAGTACGACAGAGCCCTTACAACTTTATTGCACAGTGAAATGGACAGACGCTCTAGGTCAGCTTGTGACAATCTATGTCCCTATGAAAATAACGATGCTTCCTTTATAGAAAAAGCCAATGGGCATTTAGGGAAAGCAATTTTTCAGGAAAGTGGGCTGCACACTGGGCTGCTTTATTTCTCTGCACTTTTTGCAACACAAATTTGAAAAAAGAGCTTCTTCTTCATAGTGTGAATATGTGGGCTACTCCAAGTCAAGCTTTTCATCAATTTTCATCAATTTTCATCACTTGGATCTGTAGTTCGCACAACGCTCGTTTCTGGTTCCTGGATGAAAGAACTAATCCCCAAACCATTTTCCTGTGGCCTTTCTGACAGCGAATATTTCGCTCTGCAAAAATGCAGATTCATATTTAAAAGCAAAGTGTAGTCCTCGGCTATTGTGCAGCCACAGCTAAAGTGGACTTTGCTATAGCGAAGATTTGACGAGGGATTCCTAAAATTTAAATCCCACACTTTTAGCGTGAACAATTCACAACCGCTCTGGGTCAACCAAGGAATTTCCGCCCGTCGTGAATTATCCAGCAGCTCACAAAAATTAATAAAAAATATTTCTTTGCCTATTGTGTTGTACTAAGCCATAATGTGGTGAGTATTGTGTGAAATTTGCCACTGTGATTTTCAAACTCTGGATTTCTTTTTTTCTTTTTTTGCCATACCACTGTAGTTTCTTCAAAAGCCAATTGAAACAAGACATAGTTTAGCATCATATGTGAACTCAGCCAATGTTACATTGACACTTCATTAAGACCAGTCGTTCTAAATTTTTTTACCCTTCGGGTATGTCAGGACCGTATCTCCCATAATTCTCAGGCAGCTTGGAAACTGGGTGAGAATCCTGGGAATTGCAGCCCCATCACACAGGAAGGATACCTTATTTGGAAAAGCTACATTAGATCACAAATCACAAAACAGAGTAACTAAGCCAGAAAGAAGAAGAAGTTCTCCACTGCATGCTAGTTATGAGAATGGGCAAGACAATCCAAGATGACACACTTACGATTCAAACCAATATCATGGTATGTTAGAATAGCAGGTCTGTTTCCCCGGGGTGTTCCACACATGGTGACATGGACTGACCCATGGACTGTTTCAATGTCTTGTTCCTGTGGAGGAAGGCAGCAAATTAACCATTAGCACCTCAGCAAATAGGCTTCTGAATCCCACCAAGTATTTAACATTCAATCAAAACTACTTTAAGTAGTTCTGCTGGATTCTGTTCACAACATCTGCAAGTCTATCATTCAAGTCCTTAGTGACAAATTATCAATTTGTACTTACAGGGGCTAAAAAAACGTCCTTAATAACAAGCTATTTGGAGTTCCCGTTGGAATAAAGAGGAGTAAAAATTAAAGAGAGGATCAAACTAGAAGTTGAGTTGACTACCGTTTCTTTGAGGGGTCCTTGGTGCTCTCTGAGCACGGTTGTTTTCTTTTCTTTTTCCCCAATTTTTTTATTAATTTTCCAATATTACATTTACATATTTGAAAAGTAGTGTGGCGGCTGAGCACAGTAATTCCATTACATTTGAATATCATCAGTACAAATCTCAAAGTATTACAACAACTAATTCCCCCTCTTTCCCCCATAATATCTACTGTCATATTCAAACCAATACATTTCTTATTCTATCAATCAAACAAAAAATACCTTTCTAGTATTCATCAATGATCTTCAGTCTATACATATCTTAATTAATTT